AAAAATCAGAGAGACATACCAAGTCAAACGCTCCTTTTTCTGCCTATCTCGTCCGCAATGGTAAAATAGGCTAAACAAAACAAGTGCACATCAAGATAGAGCCAATTAAGGAATAGAGAGCGGCGGGGGGGGAAGAGGGGAGAGGGTGGAGAGGAAGGCACCTCACTGAGCACATGGGGAGTGGGAGCGCAGCATCCCACCATACCTACCTTATGAGTGTTCAAAGGAAGACAACTGGGGTAAATTGGAGCCAGCTTTGATTTTTGCCATCCGGTTGCACCCGGGTTGCGGGGGAGTGGGGTGGGGGAGAAGGGTCTGTCGGGGCGGGGGTGAAGGGGGGGGATAAAAAAGCGCGGGGGGGCGGGGGGGGAAGACCGAGCGAGGGTAACAAACGGTATGCAAATGACTGGGCTTTTTGGGGATTGGTTTTGCCTTCTTTTTTCTTTTTTTTTGGAGAGAGGGGGGCTGGAGGGCAGGAAGAGAGGGGGTATAGAGGAAAAGAGAGACCGTCAGTGGCGAGGTGAGTGTGTCCCTGCACGCTTCCCACACGCGTGGGGGAGGAAGAGGGGAGTCGTGCGGGGCGCGGCGGGAGACCCGTCGGGGGTCGCGGGCAGCGCTGCCCTTGCGAGGGGCGCGGAGCCGCCGCTGCGCTGACAGCGCCGGGCCGGGCGGGGCACGGGGGCTGCACATTCCCGGGAGCAGGGGGTGCGCCAAATGGGGGGAGAGGGGGTGTGCGTGGATGTGGCCCCCTCCTTCCCTCATGGCCTCCCTAACCCCCCGACCACTTTTCCCCGGCACGGCTGCCTCACCGCTCCCGGTGGCTCCCCGTTTGGAATTGGAGACCGGTAACTCTCACCAGAGCTCACCAGCATCCCACGGTCCTTAGGAAGGAGTTTGGGGCGGCGGGGGGAAGCGGGCGCGAGGCGGGGGGGTGGGGTGGGGGGTGTTGTTTGAGAGTGACGGTGAGGCGAGGAGGAGGAGGAAGGAGGAAGGCTGGGAAGAAGGGGGTGGGGGGAGACGGAGCTCCTGAAATGGAGCCAGCCCAAACGGGAGACGATGCTGGAGCAGAAGCTGCGTCATTTCGGGGCTGGAAGAGGGCTCAGCTCATCCCCACCGCCTCCCTGTCTACAGGCAGTGGGGAAAGACAGCGGCAGGCCGGGGCAGGGTGCGAGGTGCTGCGGGGTCGGGGCCACCTCCTCCGCCCGCCATTCTCCGCAAGCCCCCGGGGCCGGGACGGGGCAGGAAAACCCCGCGCTAGGAGAAGGGATAAGCCGCCTTCGATCTGCCTAGCTAAATCAGAAAAGACAGGGGCAGGGAGAGGCGAACGGGACTCGTCGACCGCAGGGCAGCGGGCAGGACCTGTCCGAATAGGGGCCCGCAGCAAGGCCGACTCTCGCGGGGGTAACAGGGTCCTGGGACGGCGGGGGTAAGAGGAGGAATGATCGGCATTTATAACGTCGGGGAGGCTCATAGCCTTTCAAAGAGTTTCAGCTGGGTGAGTGGAAATGCCTTCTGCCCCTTTCACATTTGGAAGCACAGCAGTCTTTGAGCAGGAGGAGGGGGAAAAAATAGGTTGGTATTTTTTTTCCCCTGCTGGACAGTGGATCTCTTTGAGCCTGTTGTCATGTTCTATGGCTGCAATTATAAATAAACTTTCCTTCTGCAGAAAGGAAGTAGCTGAGACTCAGGGTCTGAAGCTCGTGAATGGCTAGCAGATACCCCGGCCTTTGCTGGCCCATGCCAAAGGGCAGAGGAGGTGGTGGTCTAGCCCTGCACTGAGAGAGTGTGCGTGCAGCATGCTGCGTGTCTAAGGAAAAATAACTGGCCTGGGAAGACCTTCCCTTCTTTCAACTCTGTCCAAGGCAGTTTCTTTCTAAAGCTTATCTCCCCAAAGTCTTCCAATGCTTGTGTTCACTTATTTTATCTTTTTTTAATTCTTTCCCTACCACTCCTGTGGTCTCATGTTTAAAAAGGAAAGCTGCTCTTGGTGGGCTGAGATCACAGGTGCCATCATGGAGGCCCATGGTGAGCATCAGTAAAAAGCAAGAGAGAGTTGAGTCCCCAGGCAAGATTACAGTGCAAGTACACAACTATGTGTATCGCCGTCCAAGCCTTCTACAACACCTGCCACAGCAAAGGTGTTGCATGCAACATCCTTAGAATATTGGCCACAGTCATTATTGTTATGTGCATATAGATTTTAGCTTATTTTATGACTGTGCACGTGTGTGTGTGCAATATTTGTGTGCATGCACATACACATTTGTATCTATGTATACATTCAGTAGTGATGGGCCTGTTAAACTGAGAAGTGATTTCTCTCCTACGGATAGATGTATAATACACACATAGTGATGATACCTAAGGTGTTTGGGGGTGGGGATGCATAATATCTTATAAACTTGAAGTTTTTATCAGGCAGAGCAGATTACTTTAAGCGTTCAATTTCTCAGCGATCCAATTTTATTAGGATTTACTATCATTTGTGCTGTGCATCCCTGGGGAAATAATGCTTTGATTAATGTAATCCTGGGCTGGGATCCGCCACATGCCCCTCTCCCAAGAGATGGGCCCTGTTTGACAAACAAAAACAGAGCAGCAACTATTGCAATCTGCACTCACCTTTCGAAAGCACACAGGCCAGCAAGCAGACACACACACAAAATATTACCCTCTCCTCCCCGCAACCCCAAATACAATAGCAGCATCTCAAAACAATGTGCACTTATTTATTTACACAATGCCTCTGATTCAGTGTGGTCTGTACAGTCCAGCCCTCAAATGCACAGAGGCAGCCCAAAAAGGATGCTGCTCTGTCCCCCACTGAGAAGCTGAAGCATCTCTGGGAAGCTCAGTGTTTCTCTGTATTTCAGGTTCTCCTTGGGCTCCCAACATTTCTGCCTCTTTGTTTCCCGCTCCAGGCCTTGCTGCAAACCGATTTTAAGTCTACTCCTTCAAACCACTGGCAGCCCATGGGCCAAAGAAGCTGACCTTGCAAGGCTCCCTGGCACCCACCTGGGGGGACATGTACCTCTCTAAACGGGCCGTGGTAAGTGAATCACTGCCAGACACTGTACCCAGCTCACAGGGAGAGGGGGGGGACCCAGAAAACAACCTCAAACAGAAAGTCTGTTCATACATTTTAAAGGAAAGAAAAGAAAGTATTCCTCCACCTTTGGGGGTTGCTGGGGTTTGAGCAGCTTTGTTCCAGCCACGACTCCCCCCCCCCCCACCACCACCACCACCCTCCGCCCCTTCTGTTTGTGTCAAAGGCTGACAGGAACAATAGCGTTTAAACAGGAATAAACATGCCCAGATCAGAGCCCAGCTCTAGAGAAAGCTCTCCTTTTCTTTACATCCTTAGGTGAACTAGCCGGTGTTTCCCCCTTCTCCCCCACAAAACGACGCCCATCAGCAGCAGCCCAAATATCAGCTTAATGTTGAATTCCTTCCCTCTACCCCACTGGAACAAAGCGGGTCCCACTGCACCTGAGGAGGACATCCAGCCTCAAAAAAGGGCTCTGACTTCACTTTAGCCACTTTTTTCCAAGTCCAGATTAATAAATCCAGGGGAAGAAGGAGGGGAGGGATCTCCAGGCTGGAGATGAGGAGGTATGAGGTTTGTGTCGAGGTTTTTAATAAGCTGCTGCTCTCTCTCTCCTTCGTGTTTACCCACTGACCCCCAATACGGTGACTCAGCGATTACCGAGCACTGGATATCTGTGTGCGAGGGGCTGGGAGGGAATTCCTCCCCCTTTTCTCCTTCTTTTCTTTCCTGATGAAAAACGTTGCAATTACATTTCTGCATGCTGATCTGAGAGTTCAAATAACAAGCCTTAAACGCGTTATCAGGCGCTTGTTAAAGAGGGAAAAGGGGAGTGAAGAGGGGAACAAATCCAGATGCATATGCTCCTGTACACGCCTGGATGTAAGTATACCTATATATCTGCACACTTATATGTGCAAAGAGATACATATTTAAATGGCAGACTGCTAGAAGAAGAGACGGACTGTTGTTCGGCCTGAGTGCCTTCACCCTGGGAGATGAGGAAACAACACTAACCAAACGAGAGAAGAAAGAGCAAGAGGTGCAAATCACTCCAGGGAAAAGTTGTTTAGAAGCAATCTCTGGATTTTCCCAGTGCAAACTGAATCTCCTATCGGATTTGCTCCAGTTTACCCGCTCCCCTTCTCCCTCCCACCCTGGGGGGGATCCATCCCTATTTCGCATTTTCCTTCTTTGAAGCGTCTCCCCGTTTCCTGCCGCCCCGCCCGGGAGGGCGTTTTCCGGGACCTCGGCGTGGCCGCGGCCCGCTCCGCGCCCGCGGAAAGGCCAGAGGAGCAGGGGCCGCCCCAGGGGACGCGGGGTGGTGGCGGGCTCCCCGCTGGGCTTTCGGGTCCCAGCCTCCGCCCCCCACACTTCTCCCCCCTCTAGCTCCAAGCAGGCGGCAAGAAACCGTTTCAGAAGTAGGGTGGTGGGACTGAATTTAGAGAGGGGAGGAGGGAATAAATGCAAAGAGATGATGAATAACGTTAACTTTTGACTGTAGGAGTCATGATGGAGTTGAGCGAAGCTGCAGGGAAATATGTCATTTAATCCCAGGGCTACTGAAGTCCCTTTTATCAAACGTCGGGATGCTGGAATTATACTGCTGTAAAGGCAACTGAGTACTTAAAAGTATCCAGCATCAGGCAAATATATAGATTGGAGGAATGGGTGTAAAATGAAGGCACATAGAAACTAATCACACGACCGTGAAAACCCCAAGCGGATTAGATAAATAGATGTGCATTAAAAAAAAAAAAAAAAAAAAAAAAAAAAAAAAAAAAAAAAAAAAAA